GGGGTGAAGGACAAGAAGATTTGATGTTGAATCACCCTTAAAACCCTCTTGTTTTTCCTTTCTCTCTTCCTCTCTAAGTCTTTCTATTTGGGTTCTAAGAGGTTTTGGGGTGAGAGTGGGGTGAAAGAATGAGAGCAAATGAAGTGAAAATGGGGTTTTAAAACATAAAAATCCCGATTTTTTAATGATCTACAGGTAGTTCATATCGAGTTACCGGTAGTTCGGGTCCATTGGCCAGTTACTACCGGTAATTCGGATCCACTGGACAGCTTACTACTAGTAGGTCCTTCTGTAGGTCCTGTCCAGATTTGTCTATTTTCTCTTTTTTTCATTTCAAACTCATTTCAAACCCTTCCAAAACTAACTCAAACTTATAAAACATACATTTGTACATCAAACATAGTTGGTATAAATTCTATTGCAAACGGTTTCATGTATTTACAAGTCAAAACTAAGTTTGAACTAAATATTTGTCCGATTCTACACTATTAACATTGTTATCTCTACTCTTACAATCTACTTAGTTCATGCAGACTCCATTATATATATTAGCATTTTAAAAAAAATGATTACTTGTTATATAAAGATAAGAGTGTGGGGGTTTACAGAAATCCATTTGAAAAACCAAGTAATCTACAAACAACTCTGTAGATTTTCCCAAGACTGAGGACCCCATTGTACCAAGTGCCATTTCAGAGTTGAGTAAAGATTGCAAGCAAATGTAGAGAAGATAACCAGATTCTAAGGGTGGCGTATCAACAACAAAATGACAACAGAGAATCTAATAGGGTATGGAGAAGGTAAAAAAGTGAGAAAAATATAGGATATGGATTGCACCAATCCTGCTATATTACTCTAGGTTACTTATTAGAAGCATCTACAACTGTTACTTTCGCATCCACATCAAAAAATCATCATAGTTTCTCAAGTCCTATAATTATCACGGAGCCTAATGTTGGTCGATCAAATAACACATAGAAACGGTATAGGCCTACAATAAGATCTCATTCCTTTTCATCCATTAAAAAACACCTGCAATTGTTGCAAGATTGATACAAATTTATTGTAACTTTGAGAAAAGATAGTTGCAGATGAAGGGTGATATACTCAAAGAACAAAATTCTTTTTCATTTCCACCAAAACGACCGAAATATTTGGGTATTGGTGGAAACTAAAAACATCGGTATGGTTTGAAATGGTACGATCAATTTTAGGGAATCAAAATTCTAATTTTTTTTCCCTTTTCATCTTGTTTCCGAATAATTTCAAAAAATTTTGGAAAAGTTTTCTTTCCTGAGCTAAATGAAACACAATCTTTGAATATACTTTTTGATTAGATCACAAAAGTGGATAGTCATTACCAGGATTAGATTCATGTCTATCGAAGGAAAAAAAAAAGCAAAAAGCATGATGGATGCAAATTTTGTTCTTAACTCATCTCCATTTTTGATCATTTCTAAGCACATAAAACAAATAGGAGTAAAAGTTGTTCAAAGTGAAAGGTAATTAAGCCAAATCAATTTAGACATACCTCTGTTTCTTGATCACAATGAACAAGAGTGAAGAAACAAAACAGATTTCAACAGTCAATTGCAGAAAGCAGCAGATTTGCATTCAACAGTCGAAGACAGAAAGAAGCAGAGTTGCAATGGAGGAGGAGGATAGCTGATAAGTATGCCTTATCAAAGAAGAGAGGATGGTTACTCCACTTGTTAGGCCTGCCTTATTTCTTGCAGTCACGCGTCAACTCTAAAATATTGTGGATGTCTCTAGCATGTAAAAAAAGTTATATTTCGAACAACTTATTTAAACTTACTTCTACACCTAAATTTTTTTTTATTTTTACATTCATCACCCGAATCCCACAGCTACCATTGGCGTTGTCGGCACCACCATCACCACCGGCCATCACAACCACCACACACTACCATCATTGCCACCATCACCACTTCCATCCCACAATCAGCACCATCGTCTTTGTCACCACCACTACCGCCACCATCATGTCATTCCATGGCCAGATATGGAACTAAGATAAAATCAAGAATTTTATTTACTGAGAGTATTAAACAAGTTACTGTTAATGACAAGTACTTCTTGGTTGAATAGAACGTATCAAAATTAACTTTCATATCATAGGGTGGGAAAAATCAATTCGGCTCATAAAAGCCAAAATTTGGTTCTTAACTACCTATTTCAGAAATTTGTTTGTGGCCATGCCACCGTCCTTTTATCCTATCATTTTTTAGTGTTGCAATAATTTTACCACTTTGAACCTCTTTTCATTAAACTCATCCAAGCAATCGCCTTTGTATGTAAAATTAATTCATCTGTTAACATGTATCATTTGGTTATTAAATATCAAGTCATAAAGCTTTCTGATTATACATAGGATTTTTCAAAAACATAAGGGGAAGTATTGGGTTTCTTAAAAACCTAGGGGAGGGTAACAAGATTTTCCAAAAAAGTGAAGGTGGAGGAGCACGGCCCTTTTTGGTCCTCCTTACATAGTTTCGTCTGTGCCCACGACTATTGTCGACAATGCCACCACCATTTTCACTACCTCCACCACCATCATAACCACCCACCTCCGCCACCAATGTTGCCACCCCCACCATCACAAAACCCTTTGTCACAACCATCACCTCCATTGTCATCGTCGCTATCACCACCACCACATCTCCATCACAACCACTATCCCACCACCACCATCTCTGCAAGCACTACCACAGTCAGAAATATATATAGCAATTCAGGGACAAATAAATGTATTTTGCAGACCATCCTAATACAACTTTTCAAAAAAAAAAAAAAAATCTTTCATTTAAGTGTTTCGAGGAAAGTCCAATAATTTTTTTTTCACGGAGTATTTTTCACTAAATAATATTTTTTAAATTTCAAAGATTGTCCAAAAATCTGATCATATTTGATATCTGTTGGGTAAGAATTCCACACCGGATAGAAAAAGGAAAGTATGTTAATGTACTATAGATGAATTCTTTACTTAAAGGCTTAAACTTTTAGGTGGATATAGATTCCAAATATTTATATTTGGCATTGTATCACTGAATCCACTTCCTCCAAACAAAATTGTATCAGAGTTGATGGCTAATAATCCTGGTTGAACTCTCCGAACAGTACATAGCGTACTGATATTGACAATAACTCTTGAAGAAAAACGAGATGGTCTCTTGGAGATGGAGTCCAAATAATAAAATTTATAAAAACAACCAATACATCAAGTTCACTGAAATGTCTCTTACTTATAGTTATTTAGCATAGTCTATGGTTATTGGACAAAAGTTTCGTATAGCATAGTCTAATGGAGTGGTTGCGATGCCTCAACTTGCTGTTGTCGTGTAGGTTTGCATACGGACGTTGCTTGTGTGCCTTACTTGAAAAATGTAAAATATTCTTTTGTTTTAGCATATATGATTTGATTGATTATTTTTTATCGGATAATTAGTTGAAGTCAGGCAATAATAAAGTTATCAATCCTAATTTACAAAAGTTTAAATAATGCTTTTGATTGATCAATTAAAAGAAATAGTTTTTTGATGCGTTACTTTGATAGAAAGTGGTTAAGGTTGGACAAGAAAATTGGTTCTCTCCTTATAAATGTATACAATTCTCATCACCGTTGTGTATCGCAAAGATTGAAAGTCAAAAGAGAAAAATAAATTTTCGGGCTACACCATAAGAATTCATTGATTGTAGATTAAGAAATTCATTATTTTTAGTGCACGGGATGTGCATAACAAAGTACCAACACATATACGATACACAAAGTACAATCATTTTATGCATTTTTTTGCCGACAATTTAGACTAGAGCAATGAATGGAAGGATATAAAAGAGCTTTAAAAATAACCAATGCATTATGTTACGTGAAATATCTATTAGTTGTAGTTATTTTATTCAGTGTGTCGCTGTTGATGCACATTACTTAATATTCTTTTAATTTCAAAGGTCATCCAAAAATATGATCATAATTTATAAATGTTAGGTATGACATGGTTAGGAATGCCAAGTCAAATAGAAAACGAAAAGCATAGTAATGTACTATAGACAGACGCATTACTTATTGGCTTAAGTATTTAGATGAGCTTAGGTTATAAACATTTATATTGAGTCTTGTATCACTAAGTTCTCTTTTCTCCTAACAAAGTAGTATCAGAGCCGATGACGGATGATCCTAATTGAACTCTCCAAACGGCGCATAGCGTACTAATATTGATGATTCTTGAATAAAAATGATATGGGTGCTTGAACTTGGAGTAAACATAAAAAGGTCTTTAAAAACTAGGTTGTTTTTAATACTCTCAAATCCTAATTTTTAATAAAGTATCATAAACTAGGTTATTTTTATGTTAAATCATGTGTGTGTTACAATATAACAGTAGAAGAAATATGGGAAAAAGTGGCATGTTAATTGTCAAGCAATCCTGGCCTTTGTTTAAATGCCCCAAAATTTTAATAACAAAATAAAAAATACTGTTATAAAACGAAGAAAAAACTTCTCAACTTTTATTCTCAATGTACCAAAGACCTCTTTTTATAAGCCCAGCCATAATGACCATCAAGTCTATATCTATATTGTGGGATTACTAGGTCTGCTACTGCCGATCGGCAGTGGCAGCCCAACCTCCTCCTCTCTCTTATCTCTCTCTCTCTATCTCCCTCTCTTGCTCTCCTTGCTAGTGCCGACAGGCTCCCTTGCCGATTGGCAGGCACAATCAATAGTTATTATGTCTAGTTTAGCCAAGACCAAGTGAAGGTCGTACATGCTGTGGGACCACTTGTGGTCGGTAGTGGCAAGAGCAAGCTTCTACAAGCAATAGTAAGCATCTAGGGACATGCAGTAGCAATCCAAGCTCTAGCAAGTGTAAGCACTAGTGGGACCAAGCACTAGCACATCCAAGGACATGCAAGGAGCATGACCAAGCATATGCAAGGAGTATGTCTAGCAAACCAAAGCTATTGCCACTGCCGGTCGGCAGTAGCAAAGCATTACCACTCCGAGGCAATCACCAAGGCGTTGGATCACTCCGAGGCAACCACCAAGACATTGTCGACCGGCGCAAGTGCTGACCGGCAGGTGCAACCCACTGAGGAAGACTCTATGGAGGCTCTAGCTTCTTACGCACTTCCATTGGACAAATCCTATTCAGCCAAGGATTAATCCGGACCTAGAATTCTATTGAAACTTTATTCTAAGTATCAAGAGACTATTGATAAAGATCGACAATGCCTCCTGACAGACACATCTCTTTCTACAATTTAGGACTCAACATACTAGTATGATTTTACCTCAATCATCTAGTGGAATGGTGATAAGGTTTATTCTATCACAACTTAGAGTCTGAGTTTGTGTAAAACATCGCTTCCTATACCACTACAAATAAATGTATTTGATACCAGATAAAGGATTTGATCCCAACTCATTTACTCTATATTTTTCTTCGACTCACTTATTGACTTAAGCATCAGAGTCTCTTTAGCCACCTCCGAACATCGGTTTCTCTTGTCTCGCAGGTTCAGGAACGCTTCTGTGCCATTGTCTCCGTCCGTGCGAGATGATGACCTTTTGCGTGGATTTATCCACGCACATATATCTATATCTATACTACTTATAATGTAAGCATATGTAACAATTTTTTTATTTTTTATTTTATCCCTAATTATTATAGTAAAATCAATTATACCCACCTAAACTTTCATCTAATTTTATTATTTATACATATTTGACTTATAACTTATTTTGGACTCTTTTATAAGGACTTTAAATTCTTTTGAACTCATTTATTAGTAGTACACTTATATACAATTATCTATATCTATATGAAGAAGTGAAGTCTTATAAGGTCAAATAGATGTTATATTTCTTTTGGATGCAATAATATAATAATATTATAAATAATTTAATAAAGCTATTTCAGAAAATAAAAGTAGTTGTAAAATGTTAGGGGTTAGAAAGATCCCTAAATAAATGATAGATTGGATAATCAAAAACATATAGAGTAAATAAATAATTAAACTTAGTAATATTTAAAATATGAATTAATTATTCGACACCTAATTGATTATTTAATTTAATTACATATATAATTCACGTTTCCTATAAAAATAATATCATTTAAATTCGTGCAGTACAATATTAAAGGTTTCTATCAATGGGTAAGGAGTTATAGGCTAATGCACTCACTAATTCCTATTTACTTGAGACTTATTGGAGGGTTAAGGGTCATCCATTTTTATACAATATATATAAAATATATACAATATTTACAGCATACTCCTTTTTTCCCTTTATTCTATCATTTTCCAGTTGATATTATGACTATGAAGAAATTATTATCGCAAATAATAGTTTCACAGTACACTAGTTTTGCAAATATGTCAAAATTGATACTGATTTCGAAAGTGATTAAACAATTTCTAGTTTGACTCAAATTTTTAGTTATTCAAATAAAAAATGTATTTGATGTAAAACACTGTAATGAAATATTTTAAAGTTAAAAGAGAATAAATTTAATTTTAAATGAGAATAATCTCAAATTTAAAAGAAAATAGAGCATGACTATTGAATTTTTGACTATTCAATATTTGAGTAAATATTTAAAATTTTCATGAATTGAGTAAAAATTTGAATCGGTATTCATTTAGTATTTGAATAAAAGTTTGGATATGGATTAAACATGCCCTTAAGTAGTTTTAATGGATTTGAATAATAGACAGATAGTCTCGATATTCTTGTCAAAGAAATAACTTGATAAGAATTAACTCTCAAAACATGATTTACACATTATACCCAACCAACAACACAAATTACACTAGATATGATTATTCATAAGTTAGGTATATGTTAAATAAATGTTAACTTGCTAATATTTAGACCCGAAATAAATTTAATATAACTCGACTCCATGACATTCTTGCTAGTAGTTTGACTCCCCTGAATAATTTGAGAATTATATAATTATTTTCAATAGTCAATATTTGTCCACATTAATAAATTTTATCTTATTCAAAAAATAAATTAAACCTTACAAATTTTAAATAAATTGCATTCAATAAGTTGGAGATATCTTCATTATTCAAATATAATTCAAGAATATTCCAATTAATTTAGTGAGTAGTGGATAACCCAACTCTTATTTCATAATGACAGTGAGTTATATTAATAAATTAAAGTTCAATTATTAATTTTTAATAAATCAATTTTCATAACTAATTGAAATTTTAATTTTTTAAAGTTAAATTATGATTTACAAACTCAAAAAATTAAAGTTGTAACTAATTCAAATTATTAATAAACTATCATGTGATCGACAATAAATTATATTAATTTAATTTTAATTCTAAAAATATTAACCTTGTGGTATAAATTAGTGTTTTAAAACCTAACCGACCCGACGGGTTAATTTGGTAAACCGGTGCCTAAACCAAGCCGGTATCCATTCCACTCGAACAAGTTTAATCAAATCAGCTAGATCATATCATTTTGTATAGCAAAAATTATATTCAATACCTCTAAGGTTTGCCACATAATCACTTCGACCCCTTGACATTTAAAATATTACACACAGACCCCGTGAGATTTGTTCGTGCGTAACACTTAAACCTCTACAGTCAACGTATGTTTATATATCTATTAGTAAATTATACCTAGACCCCTTGAAGTTTGTAAGTGTGTAACACTAAGGCCTTTTAAGTTTAAAATATTACACTTAAACCAAAAAATTTCAATTAAATATAGAATAAATATTTTAAATTTTAAAACCTTAATTCATGTTCTATTATGTCATTTATTGAAATAAAAATAAAAATTAATTATTTTTTTAAAAAATTATAATTAGTACTGTTGATGTCAAAATTTGGACGACTTACACGTCAGTTTGTTGGGCTTCAACAACCTAAAAAAGAAGTTAGAGACTAGAAGGGAGCTTCGAAGGTCGACTTTCTAATGTCTAAGTCAGTAAGTGACTTAAAGATATGAATTGCATATAATAATCAGTATAAATATATCAAAAAACTCAATTCAACACTCATTTGCAATCTATTAGAATAAAACTAAAAAATCAAATAAGGGGTCAAATTGTAATAGACACAATATCTTCTATCTTTAATTGGGGGTAATTTGATCATTTAATAGATTCCATACCATTTTTAGCCTTGAAGTACTTTTTGAACTTTCTTGTAATTAAGGCTAGGTCCTCCAATACTAATCGGGGTGACTCAAATTTCCCTCCATCTTCTCTAGTTGAGCTTAAATCAATGCCCTTTGCTTTCTTAAGGGAAAAAGGTTCATCTCAAAAGTCAATATCGACCCAACTAGGTCTTCTAACGACGCCGACTCAATGTTGACGCTTGTCTCAAAGGACGTGACCTTTGCACGAAACATCTAGGGTGGAGATCTCAAGATTTTCTATTTTATGGAAGCATCGTCAACTTTGGTACATAATGCAAAAGATGAATTTACAATGTCGTACAATTTAGTGTAAAATTCACTAAATCTTTCATAATCTTGCATCCTCAAAGTCTCAAACTGATGGGGGTGTAACTTTGGAGTTTGGACATCTTCACCATGGAAATCCATTCATGAAAACAACTAGGATGTCCCATGCGTTTTTGGAAGTTTCACAATTAGTGATCCTCCAGAACTAGTTTATTGTCACGGTATTTAATATCACATCCAAGTCTTTCGAGTTCCACCTTGCCAATTCAATCTTAGACTTAGTCCATGACTTTGGGGATTTCACTTCAACCACCACTCCACCACCTTTAACTTGTGTGGTGATAGTGGGAGGGCTCCAACCCTCTTGTACGGGTTAATCAAACTCTTTCATCCATAGATTTGAGCAATGCTCTCATGCTAGTTTTTCAATAGGCAAAATTAGACTCATCAAAGAGAGGTGATCATGCAATTGACTAACCTTCCTTTTGAGACTCCATTCAATACTAACTTATAGCAATCAATAGATCTCTAGGAAGCAAAATTAGATGTGTAAGAAAAAAAAACAAAAAATGCTTACAAATGTTTATGTGCAACTCAGAGCAACCATGCTCTGGTACCAATTGTTATTTCGGGAGGGGGAAGAAATGAAGTGAATCTTCTCTAATAACTGTACATGTAGAGAGCATGACACTACTTAGACAAAGGTTAATAGGTTTTTCAATTTTAAGCACTATCGATTATGAATTAAAACATAATTCTACCTCAATTACATTTTCACACAAATATTTATCAATTTAGTATGAGAACCCCTTTTAATCACCACAATCCCTTACACCCATGAAGATTGATTGACGTTGATCATCAGTGTGCAAACACCATTGGATTTGGTTTACACCATTCACGATCTTCACTCAAATTTGTGAGATTAGGTACAATCTCTAGAAAGTAGCCTTAGGTCTTAGGGATCTTGGATTAAGATGGAAGCTCTCTAGGTAGAAGATGAGTTTTTACTATCAAAAAACTTAGACGAGGCTTGCCCTAGCTGCAGAAAAGACTCTCCTATTTTTTATAGGTCTAGAATTACGGTAATCTTGGTCAACAAGAAAACTCAAATTATCAAACAATCGCTCGATTAGTGGGAAGGTGGTCATAGGGTGGTGGTTACGAGAATAAAAATTGTATTTCAATCCTGGCCAAGGAAAGTATACTGCTTGAGCAACTATGAGACCACTCGAGTGAGGTCAAGGCGGCTTGAGTGAGCTCATAAAGCAATCCTTATTCTACTTCCATAGTCTTTTTCCCTTTCTCTTCCTTAAGTCATTAAGAGACCACTCTAGACAAGGCTAGTGAACATAGGTCAGTCCCTACTAGTTTTCAAGCATAAAATCGAGCAAAAAACTTCTCCTCTTAAGCACTAAAGGTGTTGCTCAAGAGGGGTCTACTAATGACTCAAACTATATTTTCAAAGAAAATCTTTTCATTTAAATCACCTAGGTGTCATATATGGATTATGTAAACCCCACTCTTTTATCCTTATATATGTATGTAGATTTATGTAAAAAGTTATTATTTTTTTTAGAAATGTTCATATGGAAATTCGAGGAAATAGTAGTTAAAACTTAGTTTTAAATTACAAATATATGAAATCGTTGTAATAGAACTTGTACCAACTAGATTTGATGTATAAAAGCATGTTGAATAAGCTTGGGTTGGATTTGGAATGT